AATGTCCCCCAATGTCCCCAATCCCCCCAGTGTCCCCAGTGTCCCCAGTGTCCCCGATGTCCCCAAGGCGCAGGTGGCGTTCCTGCAGGGCGAGCGGCAGGGCCAGGAGAGCCTCAAGCTGGACCTGGTGCGGCGCATCCGGATGTTGGAATTCGCCCTCAAGCAGGAGAGGTGAGAGAAAAACCCCCAAAAAATGTCCTGAAAATCCTAAAAACCTTCAGAAACAGCCCAAAAGCATCAAAAGTGCCCCAAAAACGCGACAGAAATCGGTAAAAGCTGTAAGCAAAACCCCTAAAAACCACCCAAAAACCTTCAAAAATGTCCTAAAGCCCATAAAAAAGCACCCGAAACATACTGCAAAAATCTCCAAAAGTAGTAAAAAAACCCCCAAAATTCATAAAAACCCTCAAAATGTACAAAAAGCACCTCAAAAGCTTAAAAAGCACCTAAAAATCCTTTTAAAAAATCCTAAAAGTTGTAAAAGTACACCTAAAAATCGCTTGAAAGTTCTAAAAAATATCTCAAACAGCCTAAAAATGTACAAAAGTAGCCCAAAAGCATAAAAAGAGCCAGAAAAATCTGACAAAAGTCTCTGAAAGTTGTAAAAAAATCCTAAAAACCACCTGAAAACCCTAAAAAATGTCCTGAAATCCCTAAAAACGTACAAAAGCCGCCCAAAAGCTTAAAGAGCACCAAAAAAAAATCCTAAAAATTGTAAAAAAATTCCATAAAATTACCCAAAAAGCCTAAAAAATGTCCTGGAATCCCTAAAAATGTACAAAAGCACCAAAAAAATCGTACAAAGATTCCTAAAATTTGTAAAAAAACCCTAAAAATTACATAAAAACCCTACAAAAGTTCTCAAAACTCTGAAAGTGTACAAAAGCAGCCCAAAAGTTTAAAAAGCACCTAAAAAAAATGCTTTAAAAATTCCTAAAAACTGTAAAAATACAGCTAAAAACTGCTTGAAATCCTAAAAAATACAAAAAACGCCCCAAAAGCATAAAAAGCACCTAAAAAATGGGACAAAAATATCAACAATTTGTAAAAAAACCTTAAAAAACACCCAAAACCCCAAAAAATGTCCTGAAATCCCTAAAAATGTGCAGAAGCAGCTCAAAATCACCCCAAAAATGTGACCAAAATCTTAAAAAATTGTAAATCCGACCTAAAAATTACCCAAAAATCTTTAAAAATATCATTGGGACCCCAAAAATTTACAAAAGAGGCCCAAAAGCGTAAAAATCACCCCAAAAAATACGACTAAAAATCTCTACAAGTTGTAAAAAATACCCAAAAAATTTCCCAAAAGTCCAAAAAAACTCCGAAAAACCCTAAAAACGTCCAAAAAAAAAAAAAAAATCCTCAAATCTCTACAAGTTGTTTAAAAAATCCCCTAAAAATTTCCCGAAAGTCCTAAAAAAAATTCCAAAAAAAATATCCCAAAAAAAAAAAACCCGCAAAAGCTTAAAAAACCTGCCCCAAAATCCTCAAAAATCACCCAAAATCGCCCAGAAAAACCCAAATCCTTCCCCAAGATTGGCCCAAAAAAACCCAAAAAAACCCAAAAAAACCAAAAAAACCCAAAAAAACCCAAAAATGCCCAAAAAAACCCAAAAATGCCCAAATTTGCCCAAATTTGCCCAAATTTGCCCTGGCAGGTGCAAGCTGCAGAAGCTGAAGTTGGGGCCGGGGGAGAAGCGCCCGGAGGAGCCGCGTGAGCCCCAAATTTTGGGGGATTTTGGGGCTTTTTGGGGATTTTGGGGGTTTTTGGGGATTTTGGGGGTTTTGGGGAGATTTTTGGGGTTGGTTTGGGGGATTTTTGGGGTATTTTCAGGGTGGTTTAGGGATATTTTTTGGGTATTTTTGGGGATATTTTTTGGGTGATTTTGGGTATTTTTGGGGTGGTTTAGGGATATTTTTGGGGCAGTTTTGGGATATTTTTGGGGTGGTTTTGGGGTTGTTTTCGGGTATTTTTGGGGCAGTTTTTGGGTATTTTTGGGGTGGTTTAGGGATATTTTTTGGGTATTTTTGGGGATATTTTTTGGGTGGTTATAGGATATTTCTCGGGTGGTTTAGGGGTATTTTTTGGGTATTTTTGGGGTGGTTTTGGGTATTTTTGGGGTGGTTTTAGGATATTTTTTGGGTATTTTTGGGGTGGTTTAGGGGTATTTTTTGGGTATTTTTGGGCTGGTTTAGGGGTATTTTTTGGGTATTTTTGGGGTGGTTTAGGGATATTTTTTGGGTATTTTCTGAGTGGTTTTGGGATATTTTCTGGGTGGTTTTGGGATATTTTTTGGGTATTTTTGGGGTGGTTTTGGGATATTTTTTCGGGTGGTTTAAGGATATTTTTTGGGTGGTTTTGGGGTTGTTTTGGGGTATTTTTGGGACAGTTTTGGGGTATTTTTGGGATGATTTTCGAGCGGTTTTGGGGTATTTTTGGGATGATTTTCAAGTGGTTTTGGGGTATTTTTGGGATGATTTTCGAGTGGTTTTGGGGTATTTTTGGATCGATTTTCGAGCGGTTTTGGGGTATTTTTGGATCGATTTTCGAGTGGTTTTGGGGTATTTTTGNGTTTTGGGGTATTTTTGGATCGATTTTCGAGTGGTTTTGGGGTATTTTTGGATCGATTTTCGAGCGGTTTTGGGGTATTTTTGGATCGATTTTCGGGGACGCTTTTGGGGTATTTTTGGATCGATTTTCGAGTGATTTTGGGGTATTTTTGGGGTGATTTTGGGGTATTTTTGGGGTGATTTTGGGGTATTTTTGGGGTGGTTTTGGGGTATTTTTGGATCGATTTTCGGGGACACTTTTGGGGTATTTTTGGAACGATATTCGAGTGATTTTGGGGTATTTTTGGGGTGGTTTTGGGGTATTTTTGGAACGATTTTCGGGGACGGTTTCGGGGTATTTTTGGAACGATTTTTGAGTGGTTTTGGGGTATTTTTGGATCGATTTTCGGGGACGGTTTTGGGGTATTTTTGGGATGATTTTCGAGCGGTTTTGGGGTATTTTTGGGATGATTTTCGAGCGGTTTTGGGGTATTTTTGGGATGATTTTCGAGCGGTTTTGGGGTATTTTTGGGGTGGTTTTGGGGTATTTTTGGGGTGGTTTTGGGGTATTTTTGGGGCGTTTTGGGGTTTCTCAGCCCCATTTCCCCCCCAGTGTCCAACGGCCCCGTGGAGCTGGAGGGAGCCTGGAGGGACGGGAGGCGGCTCCTGCGCCAGTGAGTTTGGGAGATTTTGGGGAATTTTGGGGAATTTTTGGGAATTTTTGGGATTTTTGGGATTTTTTTGATTTATGGGGATTTGATTTTTGGATTTTTTGGGTTTTTTTGGGGGGTTTTTATGAGAATTTTTGCCGTTTTTAATGGATTTTTTTTAGTATTTTAATGCAATTTTTTGCCGTTTTCATGGGAATTTTTCCCATTTTCAGGGGAATTTTT